TAACTATCAAAGCCAATATGCCCAATAGTCGCAGACTGCATGAGCAGTGTAATTGAAAAAATAAAAAATAAAATAATAAGAAGCAAATTTAATATTTGACCAAATGGAAATGGAGTGTGTGTGTTCACTAATTGCCGGCTTGCCCGGATTTGTAAATGCCAAGATGTTTAGCGCTTGGCGTGCGGCATGTCGCTGCACCCCGTCACGTAATTAAGTTCGCTTATGACTAATTATGATTGGGGATTGTGGGGCGACAGCGCAGCCGACGTCATTTAAATAAATCAAATAACTTTCAGTTACTAAACTACTACTGCTAAAAAGGTAAAATAAATGCTAGTGAAACGGTGTTCTATTGCCTAAAGTAGAGATAGTGATGAATATAGTAATATAATAGTAAACCTTTAATTTGGACATATGTATGTCTTCTATAAAGCCAATTGGGACTTATTTCTATTTTAAAACCGTCAATTATAAAATATATATTAAATACTGGATATCAAAAAGATTCCTTTTTTACATGTAAGAAGAGAATGAAATTTCTTAAAGACATACATGCATATACTGATATGTATATTATATATTATTAATAAACCTTCAAGCAAAGCATTATGGCCGACACAGTATTTTGATTTAACTACAATGTGTTTCCAGCTAAAATCACATTAAACGCGCTTCAGCCCATAAAAACTTTGCAGCTTTGAAATCACAAATAAAAAATCGGAAAATTAAAGCAATTTTATTAGTAAACTATAAACGTTTTATTTTTCAAACAATATTAAGTTTCAGCTATTTAAATTAAAGACCAAAAAAAAAAAAAATATTATAAGTAAGACTGTTTTAGATTAATGTAAGGAGTGAGAAAATACCCAGATGGGCTTTGTAAACGACGGATGAGAAATTATAAGAAATAATATCCGTCGGTATGCCAACATTATATAAAGTTTTGATACATTGTTTATAATACTGCTGCCTCTCAAATAGCCCACAAGACAAATAATTTACACTGAAAATCCATTTTCATGATGGATTAATAATTGATTATAATTAATAAACATTTAATAAGGTTTTATTAAAATTTCTAATATAAATATATAAATATATAATTTAACCACCAAAATTATTAAATATTTTTCAGCCACTCTCAAATTAAACTAAACGTAAAAAAAATTAAAAAAAAAAATTAAAATAATATTTATCATTAAAAAAAAAGCACAATTTTTTTTCTCATATCAACAGTTTACATTATTTACTAATAATTTAGACATGAGCTTTAATTTGAAGCTTTTGTAGGGGCTTACAAGCATTTTGAATGCAAGTGCAGTACAGTTTGAGAGCCACTGGCCAATCAGCTGTAGTTGTGTATTCTAATTTTCTCAACTTCATCTTTCGCATGGCTCACTTATCGCTTTTATCTTCTCTTCTTCTGTTTTTTCTCGTTGTGTTTCGCCCGAAATCCGTTACATATTTATGTGTAGATAAGCGAATGCCAAACGCTTTGAGCTTTGATAAATACGAAAAATCGTGACAAACTGCAAATTATTTTGCATTTCACATCTGTTGCGGACTTCAGTTGCACTCGGTCAGTGAGCGGCGCAACGTACGACCCCACAGTTCTAAATATTTATTGCTCAAAAAAAAAAAAAAATAAAAATAAATAAATAAATTTATATACATAAATATATATAGATTTCCGCTTAAATGGTGCATAAGTCATGGAATGTGCCAAAATTGTGCACCCAGGAGTCGAGCTGCCGCCTCTGGGGCTCGGCACGGCTAACCTACACGCTCAGCGCCTTCCTCGCCAATATCCTGCAGATGGGCATGCGCAATATGTTGGGTCTGATCATTCTGCGCATGGTCCGTGCATACCCCCGGGAGGCACTGCAATCCAGTGTGAATAACATTACGATAAGTTCCAGCTGCGGCGGCAATGGCAATGCATGGATGGAGTCCACCTTGGATGCTGCTCAGGTGAGTTTTATGGAACGGAAACTTTCTCTGTCCCTGCCTTCTCGCACTCTGCCCTTTTCTCTGTCTTTTACTTCCTCTTAGTGTATCACTCTCTGTATCTCTCGGTGTGCGTCAGTCTCTACATTCTTCTCTTAACTCTCGCAATCGTTATCTCTCCCACTATATGTATACTTCTCTCTCTCGTTCTCTTTCTCTCTCTCTCGTTCTCTTTCTCTCTCTCTTTTCCTCTCTCTATCTCTCAATATTTCTTTACCTGTCTCCACGTTTCACCTTCCATATATCTTCTTCTCATTCTATCTCCTTTCTATTTTGCTCTCTCTCCCTCTCTCTCTCTCTCTCTCTCAGCTCGCTATCTCTTGTTCCCTTGCTCATTCTATCTTTCTCTGATTCATCTCGCCCTCTACAGTTCGGTGATCTGCAATGGAGTCGCACTCAGGCTCTGGCCTTCCCGGGCACCTTCTATTACGGCTTCGTCTTTGCCCTGCCTTTGGCCGGGCATCTAACGGATCGGTTTGGAGGCAAGGTGTTGTTTATCAACTCATTAACTCTGCAGGGTGTCGCCTTTATTTTACTGCCCCTTTTAGCGCACTATAGTTATGCGGCAGCAGTCACTAGTTTGGTATTCGCTGGCATTTTCGCGGTGAGATTTGCATGTAGTGTGCATATAATTTGAAAATACTAAATTTTACATCTATCGCACTTTAGGGCTGCGGCACACCGCCCCTTTATCAGCTATTCGTGGTTTGGGCACATCCCACGGAGCGTACAGCAATGCTCTCATTTGCTTACAGCGGCTTGATCATTGGCTCCATATGCATATATCCGCTGACCACTTTTCTCAGCGAGTTTGGCTGGTCCGTGCCCTTCTACGTGATCGGCTCCGTTTCCTTAGCATATGGCATCACCTGTAACTGGCTGATTTACAATAGTGTGGAGCAGCATCCACGTATCTCGGACGCTGAGCGTGAGTACTTGCAGCAATGTGCCCAGCAGCCGCAGGTGAGTTGATGCCAAAAGCCGTTCATTGATTGTGATTTAATTCTCCTTAATTCCTGCAGAATTTGAGCTTACCTTGGCGTTCGCTGTTGACCTCCCCGCCCGTCCTTGCATTCGTTCTAACCCATGTCTTTCACAACTACACCTTTCTGCTCTTCTCGCTCATAATACCACGATTTATGAGGGAAGCGATGCAGCTCAACATGAAAGAGGTAGACAAACTCGATATATTTAAACTAGATATAAGTACGGAATGCAGAAACTAGAGCTTAACTAACCTATCACAACTACAATAATAGCTGAACATTCTTAAGAGCTATATCAGAGAATCATATGACTATTAGTAGATTGTAGAATATATCATTATATTTATCATCATTATTATATCATAATATCATAACTGGCATGGAAGCTCTTACATGACTATTTAAACATTTTTAGAGACTTTGAGCTATTTCTTATATGTAGATGGCATATATTAAAGAATCATATAGCTGACATGGAAACTCTCTACATTTTTGCTTTAATTTCATTTTGAATAATCAATTAGCATAGTTACATAGGTCATATAAGTAGTCGTATATATGATTCATATTAAGTAATCAATTTGCTGGTATAGGAATTCACATATTTCAAATGATATAATCAATCATATCCTATTGTATTTCTAGAATAAATTAAAGCCGTATTATTATAGATTATATATAGATTATTATAGTATTTGCAGTTGATTATAAATTACAATAGAGTATTACCAGATATTAATTTTTGACCTTCAACATTATTTCTCACCTAGATTGGTTTCTTATCGTCGGCCCCATTTTTGGGCTCCCTGCTCTCTAAGATAATTTGTATTTTGAGTTGTTCCATTATAGAGCGACGTGTGTTTGCCAACCGTAGCTATCTACGTCGAGTTTTGTACGCCGTCTGTAAGTGCATATTGTGTATCAACTAAATCATTTAGTTTACAGAGTTCACTTTAAATTTATAGGCGCCCTTGCAAATATGATTTTGCTATCGATCATAATTATAGCAAAATGTGAGCAAAAGATATTTGTGTTGGTCATGTTTGTGTTATTGGGCGTTACCACAGATATGGGCTTTAGTGGCGGCTATTGGCCGACTTTATTGTACTTTGCGCCATCGTTTGCTGGAATGATTTCAGGCCTGGCCAACAGTGTTGGGCACATATCGGGCTTTCTGGCCTCACATGTCATAGCCACATTGGTGAAAACTGTAAGAGTCTGAGATAGATATACCTCTTACATATATTATCTGCAAGTAAAACTATTTTTTTTTTTTTTTTTCTGTTTCAGGGCCTTAAGTCAGAATGGAATCATGTTTTGCTGACGTTAATTTTTGTTAATGTCTTGGCCATAATTGTATTTGGTTCCTTCGGCAGTACAAGTCTTCAGCCATGGGACCCTCGAAGCCAAAAGCCAGAGTCCGAAGTCAAACCCTCAAATACCGCTAGTGAAACGGCCAACTAGCAGAGTGCTTGGTTATATGTATATAATAATTTGTTGTACATATTTATTAAAACCGTCCAATGTCGTATGTTTCTATATTATATATGTAGGTGTAACAGTTATTTTTAACTTTATTTTGTAATATTTTATTATTGTCACTAACCAACTTTAAAATAGAAATAAAATTGATGTAAACAACGTCATTACATTTACAGCAACAAATCTAGTTTGAAGCGTGGATCAATAAATATAAATTATTCAATTATTTCATTTTACAAAAATGATCTGATAAAAAATGTGTGCGTCGACACTGTATTCTGATTGTATCAGCAGTAATTTGCTAGTTATTTATACACATACATGCTCGATAAATTACTTAGTACGTAAGTATATACATGTATGTGTACACAAATAATCACCAGATTTTCGTTTTCCCTCCATTCAAATTCGACATTGCGCGCGCATTTCGATTGACAGCCTGATGAGCAACCCAGCCTGTACAAACTATCGATTCGGCTGCGGTATATCGATTAAAAGTACAAATCTATCGATGTACTCTAGTAAACCCGAACAGCTGTACAAAATTAATCGTCTGTAAGTTTTTGTTTTATAAATCATTTTCGATTCGTTTGCTTGACGTTCATGGACGTGTTTCCGCACACAGCATTTGAATTGGTTTCGCAATAGAAAAATTTGCGTGTTTTCTATCTGGATGCAACAATAAATTGTCAGTGTCTCCCTTTATACTTTTGCAATACAAAATTCTCAGTGGAAGATCAACAAAAGCAGAACATAGACTTCAGTTTGGCAGCTCTTCAAGTAAAATAGCAAAGTGAGTACAGTAAATAAACAAGAAAATGTTTGTGGCTATAACTAACTTTAGGGCTAAGTTACACAAGTGCGCAAAGAAATGCGGAAACATAAGGCATAAAGCTGACATGGCAAAACGTTTCCTGTTTTTGTGATTGCAGGCTTTTATTTTGTTTGTTGTTTAGCATTTCCGCTAGTGAATGCTTCTTGACAAATCAATAAACGCTAAAAATTTCAACGACGCGGAGCGATGACGTCTGCCCCTGGCCAGTCGATTTTATGCTACGTGCCATTTGTTGTTATACACAATTACAACAAATCACAAAGAATATAGCATGAATGTTGATTTTTTAGTGGAATATTATAAACTTTTTCGAAACACTTGTTACCTTGAGTACGCCGTGTTGTTTTAACTGCTTGCGCTCAGAGTTGAGGGAGGTTCATTCAATCATGTGTGTGTGTGTGCGAATGTATACTTAAGTACGTATAAGTGTGTGTTCATATATATTTAGTATGTACGCAGTGATCGCTTAATATTTTATCCATACATGTGTGTGTGTGCTTGTTGGGTTCACGAAGTAAATACATTTTAATTTTTTGCAATATGGCAACTGTAGCTATACTCTGCGTATGCGTGTGTGTGTATGCGAATGTTTGTTTCTGCTGCATATGTATGTTTATGTGCGGGGCCGCACGTTCACATCAACATAGTCTATCACACTCACGCACACAGCTAGCTATATGTTTGACGGCACAAAAAGTTAACTACGCCCATGAACCAAACAACGTCCATGTCCGTGCCGATCCGCATATACATATGTATGTATGTGCTAATGTATTTTGTGTCTTATTGCGTTTTGCATAAATTCACGACGACGTCATAGTCGAATTTATTTATAGTTTTTTATTTGTGTTTTTGTTTGTTCACGTCGCAAACAGGTGATAACAGCGAACCATTAAATATATTATGCTGATATGCAGACATACAAATTAATAATGCCCTGATACTGCTTATCAAAAATATATGTCTCTCTGTGTGTGCATTTAAATATATGTGTGTGTTATATACCCCACTTGTTTATAAACAATTGCCGTTGCCCTGTTTCCCTATGTATGTAAATACATATGTGTGTTTGTGTGCGCGCTCTTTCTTTTTTGCTTTTTGCTAGTCTTCTCTTTTGCTCTTGTGCTTTGAGCTTAGTCATTCTGTATTTGAAAATATTTTTATACGCCGCAACGGCTGTCAAAATGCAAAAAAAAAAAATAGTGAAGACACATATTGGGCGAAACAAAACAAAAGAAAAGAGAAAATTTGTTTCGTTTATTTGTTACGTATTTATATAAACAAGATTTTATTACATACGAACGCATGTAGTTGTGTTAGTGCGTGTGTGTTTCTGTAGTTGAATTTGTGACTGCATTAGTATGTAATGTTGTTTGTTTTGTGTTTTGTTTATCTCAATTAAGCAATTGGCGATGGTGATAAACCGGTTTCTATAAGAACGACGCAACTAACAGCTTTTTGCCGGCACTAAACGAGAATACTTACAGACAGACAGTCGAGACACACACATGCAAACTTACATACTACATAAAGTTATTGCACTCATATAGCTTTACTGTATGTGTATATTTATAGTGTACATATGTATGTGCCTGATTAAAAGTGCGTAGAAGGGGTTTAATATAGTTAAGCAATAGTGCAATGTACTTACATATGTATGTTCAATAAAATATTCATTTTGTGTTTGTATGTGTGTTAAATAAACTATTAAAGTGTATGAATTTTACTATGAACCCTTGTTTCCGTGCATTGGCTTTTTTATGCCATTTTAATGATCAAGTTGAGGCCTGTCCATCCTTCTGTTATTCAAAAAAATGCGAGCATTGGAAACAAAATTTAGAAAATATGAAATTTTCGAATTTAGCCGCTCCTCAACTGCGCACCTATTTCTTGTTTTGTATCGCTCCTTCCTCTTCACACACATACATTTGTACTTTTATTCTTAAGTAAATTTTTCCAATATTTAACATTTCTCATTTTAATTTTCTGTTGTCTCTTTCCCCCCAAATGATTTTCTCTCAATTTTTGCTTTTCTTACTATAATTAAAAAGGAAAAACAAAACAGCATTCTCTTCCTCCTTTTTCCTGTTTGTCTCCCTTTCTTTCGCTCCCCACTTCCCTCTACCAATATGTCTCCCGTAATATACATACATTCATATATGTATGTATATTTCCTCAGCTTCTTCATTACAGGGTATATATAGTTGTCGGGAACTTCCGACTCGATTTGATTTGCGTTTTCAAATGTTTTTAAATTAAATTTATCGCTTATTAATTACAGCACAACCATGTTGTTAAAAGTACCATCTGTTGACTGGACGGATCAAATAGTTTACGTGGTGGACGACGACGAATCACTGTCTGACTTTGACGATGAGCCAGATTTCTCAGAATATATGTGGATGGAGAACGAGGAGGAATTCGACAAGAACGTAAGAAGGAAACTGCAATAAATAATTTTCTTTATAATTAAACATATTTGCCTTCTGCAGGAATTGCAACGTCTTGAAGAGGAAGAAATCATGCAAGAGTGTTTCGAAGCCATGATCGAGGATGAGCTCGAGGAACAAATAAATGAATGGGAAAAAGCCAAGTGCGTCAAGCAAGCATAAACTATATAATAACATTATAATAATATGATCTTTAATTTTGCAGAACGGAAGAACAAAATACGGCCCTATCTGCGCTACCAAAGAGTCAATGTAATATTGAGAAATCTGTGCTAAATCCCATGGCTGACGAATTCGTACCACTCTGCCATCAAGTTGATTTTATAGCCTCGTAAGCGCCGGCCCCCAATAGTCTGAACTATATAACCTCACACCGCAGCGATTTCAGATGTGCATCTGAAACGTATCATAGCAAGGATATTCCAACATCCCATGCAAGAACTCGATTACCGTTTATATATGATATTCACCTCCCTTGTCTAACCCAACATTTAAAAACAAAAAAACACACATAAAACAAGCCAATTCCAAACAGGCAACTATGTTGAAAAGCTAAAAAAAAAATATATATAGAACAAAATTTTGATGAAAATTACGCGCACATACACACACACGTTATCATATGTATAATAACCAACTCAACCGAAATGCAAACGAATACCATAAACATAAAAAAAAATATATATACATACTAAAAATCATAAAAAATATAACAATATGTATATATATATATATTAACAATTATATATATATATATACATTGAAGAGTTGAAGAAGTTATCTAGACCCATGACTACAAAACTAATATTACGAGCAACAAATTCGCGTTTAATATCTATCTGGAGCCAATTATATAGACGAGCCGTGCTTAAGCTAGTGAACAAAACTTTCTTATAAACGTACAAACAAATGACTTTTTACACACGCTAACTGTGAATTGCAACGTCTATTTAGAAACATAAAATTAAAATCATCAGGATATATAAATGTATAAATTTCCAGCTAAAGCAAATGTAAGCACTACAAGACTCGATTGTATTTGAATACCAACCGTGAGTTCGATTAATCGTAATTAATTTAATGGAAATGCGCACTACCTAAACTCGCTATAAGTTTAAAGATTTCCTCTTTTTTTTTTGTCTATTTTTATTTAGTTTTCTTATTTGAGTAATTGTTAACTCGTTGTACGTTCTGTCTATGTTACAAAATGAAAGAAAAGAAGCGACTTTACCTCCTTTTGACTCGCATACTAGTTATCTGCAGCTGTAAATAAGTAACTAATGTTGAAAACGAAAAGATAAACTAATGCTAAAATTAATTATACAACTATGTACTAATGTTAAATGACTTCTCTTGCAGTATACATATTCACCTGTATATGTATATCTAGTATTAAATGCGCTGCAATACCAATATTTTTTGTAAAACTTTAAAATTAATTCTTGTCCATTTGCTCGATTGCAAATGCATATGAAAAACAAAAAACAAAAATTTAATTTAATTCTCTTCTGTTTTCGGATGTAGAAATAAAAATATAGTGTTTCGGTTAGTTAGATACTTAAGAAAGCATTATAAAGATCTTATTTACGTTTTGTGTGATATAAAGATAAAAACGAATAAAAAAAATATAAAATACTATTTTTAAAAATCCCAATAAAAAAAGTATTATAGCATAAATCTGTTTATTATTGAATAGCAGCTAACATATAAAAAAAGAAAATAAATAAAGTTTGAATATATTGGGATTTCGAACCGGAGCAACGTTAGAGAATGTCCCCTTATTTTAATGCTTTAACGATTGTAAGCAGTGTGGCAGCACCAAACGATATACGAAATATCGATAAGAAGTCGATCAAAAAATTGCTGATAGCAAACATGGCGTCGTCGCCAATTTCTGGCTGACTTCTTTTTTGTTATTAAAGCGAATGCAGAAAAAGTTGCAATAAATTGTGTGAAATGTGAAATATGTTAAGTGCAATCGAAGAGTGCGCATTGTAGCAACAAGCAGCAGAGCAAAGAGCAGGCTTCAGAGATGGCTGCGGCTGCTGCAGCAGTGCCAGCTGCAAACACAACAACGACAACAACACCTGCAAATGCACCTGCAATCGGAGCGAGCGCCAGCTCGGCGCAGTTTCGTGAAATACATAAAAATACGTGGTTGAAAAGACTGACGGCCGATGGTAAAAAGTTAACCGTGGGTCCCAAGGTAAACTTTTTATCAGCAATTTATAGCAACGATAATTACCTTCCGCTGATTTGCAGAAATCGGAATGCAGTTGGGTGGTGTTCTGCGTGCATGATGACACCGAGGCCCTCCTGGAGGGCTATGCGGAGCCGCGACAGGCGGCCGCTCATATACCTGAGTGGGCCGTGTCGCTGCGGGATACGCTGCACATATCACATGCCCTCATACCCAATTCCCATGAGTTTGAATTTGTTGTGACGCTCAGCAATGAAGTGTTGCGCTTTCATGCCGTTTCATGGTAAGTTGCGCACAACACAAACACACACAAACGAAGCAATTAACAATATTTTATTGCGGAATACAGGGAGATTATGCAAGAATGGGTGGAAACGCTACGAGCTAAGTTGCGCGAAATGAAAATTCTATCGCCTCGTGAAAACCTATACACAAAGTTACCTGAAGTGCGAGCCCCATTGCTGCCCACACGTGATCCAACATCTCCGTTGCCGGCACCACCGCCCGTACCAGCGGCCATAGTGCCAGGGGTCGAGCGTATTCCGGCTCATCAGCATCCGCCGGCAACCATTGGCAATGAACAGACAGCCAGACCGGTGGCACCAGTCATAGAAGCTGCTCCAGCACCCGCTGTAGCCGTAACAGCTCCATCTGCAGCTGCAGCAGCGCCACCGCCAGCAATGTCGAATACCCTAACACAACATTTGCTTAATATGCTTTCGGATCCCATCAGCACGTACAGCGAACAAATTAGCGAAACAGCATCAACAGCAGCTGCTGTTGAGGATGAAGAGGAGGAAGAGGAGCAGCAGCATGCAATTATAGTGGAACCCCCAAGCGCAACCACAGCGGATTCGAGTCTTTCCGAAGATGAGTTCTTAACACCCATACTACGAAACGGTGTGCGAGTCGATGTTGCAGCTTCATCTGCACAGCGCATATCTGCGGGTAAGCATCACATGTCAAAGCGTTAAATTCAATTAAACTAAACTTTCTTTTTTACAGATCAAATATTAAATTTTGAACAAATGCAATGTGAACGTCTAATACCCAGGTAAATGAAGAGAAGACTCTATAGTCCCTTCGCTAAGTCATTGTAATTATATTGTATGAAATCCAGCGCCATCTGCTTCACACCTTTGTCGCGATTGTAGGTGTCCAGAAAAAGTTTGCGCAATGTCATCAAATAACGCATTGTCATTAAGGATAGCTCATGCAGCGCCGTTTCCTTCTGCATTCTGATCAGCTGTTTATAGCGTTTACACACACTAGTGTGCATTTCATAGTATGCTCTGGTAATTTGATCTCGTGTTGTTAATGTCACATAATATTCTATGTGATCGCGCAGTAGACGCCCTAACTTAATATCCATTTGCTCAAAGTGTGCCCGATCCCGTGCGTCTTCGCAGAGCACAGAGAATAGGGTCACGAAATAGTTTGGACGATCCATAAATTCTGGCTGGTTAAATAGCTTAAGGGCCGTCACAGACGAGCATGCAAAAATGTGCTTCATGCAGCCGACTTCTTTGCTATACAAGTTATTGTGATTGCTCAGTTTTTCGACCGTGGCCTCTAAGCTCTCACGATACGTTAGCAACTTTTCTTTCTCTGCCTCCAGCTCCTCCAGCTCTCTGAGCATTTCTTTGTTTTGATCCATCAGCACCTTGTTGGCGACCTCCAAGCGCAACGAATTCTCCGCGTCACACACATCTGGGCTATGCGAACTGAATGGCGAACTCGTATCCACGGTGGGTCTATCTTCGGTATTGGCATCCCCATTTTGGTTATCATCTGTAGTACCATCGTCGATGCTACCATCTGCCTGATCCAGCATTAGGGTCATCTGATGCAATGTATTTAGATCGCGCTGATAATTGCGATCATCCGTAAAAGGAAAACTCAGTGTGTCGTCATCGTTGAGCTGCTTGTGGAGCAATAGCAGCATGCAATTGCGTGAAAATCTTTCCTCGGGATCGGCTGCCTGAAAGATCTTGAACCAACGCGTGCAGGTGGCTATTACGGCATTGCTGGGCAGCTTTTCCACAATTTTCATTACGCTGCCCACTTCCCTAACGAACAACTCGTCCAGCGTATCATCTGATAAAGCCAATTCATCAGCCATTTTAAGAAAATATATATAATTATTCAAATCTAGCTGAATTGCTTTTCGGATTATTATTTAAATCCTGTCGGCAATAGCTTATGAAGTTCACAAAGATTTCTAGATTTCAAGATTTTTGTGAGGCAAGAAACTAGGACAATATCCAATCACTACGTTTGGAAACTTAAGATTCATATTTTAATTTAGTTTATCAATTTATTATAATCCCAGTACTATATCAACTAAAGCTTTTACTTTTCGTTCTCTCCATTAGACCCCAAACATCGCGTTCCATGTCAGCGGGCGCCGCTGACAAAACCAAGAGGTCGCAACGCCAATCACCGCAGCCAAAGCTTCAAGCTTCAGCCACAAATTCAACTGCCGTCGAGGAGAATGGAGAGAACAATGTAACGATTATACAGGTGTCCAATACGACAAATGCTACGAATACGAATACGACGCAAGCGCCCGAACTGCCGCCCAAAAATAAAGTAATAGCGGATATTTTTCGTTTTCCTGAAATCAGTTTGAAAGCCAAAACGAAATCGCAGCCACAGAACGATTACAAAAGCAATGTACAAATAATTCCGTCCAATTCGAATACAATACAAGTGCTCAGCCAGCCGAGCAGCAGCAATAGCAGTGGCAATCCCTATACCATACCCTTAAAACCGAATGCTTCCAATCCGAATGCGCCAACGTCGAATGCTTCCACGGCAACAGCGAATGCCAATACGACAACGGTGCAAGTGCTGGCCGATGGTGAGGCCACCACGGTGGCAGTTTATGGCACCTGTTACCCCACCACAGCGGGCGGAAGTGGTGCGAGTAAGCCAGTCACCCCGAAGATGAGCAAGAAGATCATACTGAGCGCTAACAGCTCGGGAATCACAAACATACGCATCAACAATGAGCAGGCGCAGGAGTCGAATGTGATCAGCGGCAACGTGCACTATGAGAAGGTATTCCTCTCGTCGAGCATACCCATCAGTAGCAACAGCAGCAGCAGCAGTCCAACGGCTGTGCGCCCCACGAGTAGCCAAGGCCAGGCTAGCAATGCAGTGGTCAATGTGGAGGCGACACCCGTGAACGGCAGTCCCGCTTTGCCACGTCGCGGCGTAGCCATTGCCTCGCCCACGCCCAGCAATGGACGCGCCCGTCCACAGCTGACGCGCGGCCTCACCGAGCTGGTCATTAGCACGCGACCCAGTCGCCGGGACTTTCACTATCTAAAGCTACTTAATACGCCGCTCAAGACGAAGACAACGCCAAAGGCATCGAGCACGACCACGAGCAATGCCAACAATAATATAGAACAGAGTGCTGCCAACACCAGCTCCAGCTCCGGTGCCAGCAATGCAACACGGGATGCGGCCAGCAATATATCCGGCGGCACCAATACGGACAGCATTGAGCAGCGCAGGCGCAGCTCCTCCACATCGGATGCTCAAGCGCCGCTGCAGCGTGGCGCCACAGTCGGTGCAAGCACGCAGCAGAGCAGCCAGCGCGGCGCCAACAACAATGAGTTTGTGTCAGGACGCAGTGCAGCAGCTGCAGGCGCATTCCGCATGCAATCTCCGCCACAGGCTGCAGCCAGCCAGTCCAACAGCAGCAATAAGCGACTCACGTTAAGGGAGCAGCAGGTGATGCAGTTGCGACGTGAGATCATGCATCCAGGTGGCGTGCGACTCAATCTGCGGCGCAAGGATTGTGTTGGCTCCATTGCCTGGGTGGATGCCTTCGGTGGTGTCTGGTGAGTCACAGAACCTATATCTGCAAATAAACCACAGATAATTAAAATGCATTTTCGTCTCATATGCAGGATTGCGGGCTGGAAGCAGAAGGAGCATCCGGTGCTCTATAACGCCCTTCACATTGGCGATCAGCTGCTCTCCATTGCGGGCGTCAGCATCAGCAGCGCCGCCGAGGCAAATAAAATAATACGCAATACCAACACGTTATTCGTAAGTATTTACTATTTATATATATGTATCTGTATGTAAGCTAATTGTTGACTTATTGCAAATAAGCCCGGGCGTAAATTAGAATATTTATGAATCATGCTATCAGTATTAGTTAAAATCTTGGAATATATAGTATATAAAAAAAAAAAAACACTATAAATTAGGACAAGAGATGTTATGCTAAGCTTTAAAAAGATATGTATATATAGTGTATACATGAAATTAAATAGTGTGAGTTATATTATAAAAATATAATATAAATATAATAATATTCATATTAATTTATTTTGCATAAATAGAATTATATTATTGCATATAATGTATTTATAAATTTTAAATTCTTATAAAATATATTAATTTATTATAAAAAAATCAAAACGTAATCTATTTAAAATAGAATATGTGCTCTTATTATTTATGTCAAACGAATTAGTATATATAGTAGATGTATTTATTTACTATACAAAAATCAAAACGTAATCTCTCTCTCTCTATATATATAATATGTTTATTGACAATCTGAGGATTCTCAAGAGAAAAAAAGCACCAGCTGTACATCCCAAAAATCATTATCAGACTTAAACTGACGTAATTGTATATATTGTTTTGTTTACAGGTTGAAGTGCTGCTGCGTCGCATACCGTTTGGTCGCGCCTATGCCATACGCCGGGATCGCGATGGTCAGTGCTTGGGACTTATACGTGATGGTAATACCTCAACAATTGTGGATGTGGTGCCGAACAGTTTGGCGGCACGGCATGGACTGCCACCCAAGGTGAGTAGGAATTGCATTTCTAAAATCGTTTCCAATCAATTGATGATGCTATTCATTGATTCATTGCAGGCTCAATCGTGCGATGGCAGCACGTTGACCTTTTGGATACTGACGGAGATTAACGGTCGACCGTTGAATCTGTTTTTCAAGGATTTGGAGATACGCGATCGCCTCAATTCGGTGGGCAGGGATATTTCGATACTGGTGCAACCGTCGGATTTGATAACCAAATTGAAAAAGCAACTGAAATCGTTGCGCGGCTACAAGGATTATCTAGTACAGTAAAATGTCGGCTACAGCCTCACTTCAAAAGTGGTCGGCTTTTAAATAGGTACACATACACACATATATATATATATATATATATATAAATACATATATAGGAAGATATATAGCAATGTAGTAACTCAAAACTGTTATACTATGTTATACGTGTATATTTTTGTATAACACTGGGCCAGATAACCATTCCATTATTCACATAAAAAGAAAACAAAAAATGCATGTTTACTTATACGAACGAAATGCTATATAGTCATCTTTTATATGTAGTAACTTTATACATGCGAGCATTAACGGAAAAACATATATACATATATAAATATATATTTTTGCAAATTTTATATAAGTAGTTTACATAGAAAACTATATAATGCTCTCACTTTGAGAAATATGCACTACAAAATTGTTCGAATATTATAGAAACAAAATTATGAAATTTTACAAAGCAAAACAAAAAAGAAGATATTTTAATAATCAAAAGTATTTAATTTGAATATTTTGAAAAATATTTTATTCGTAAATTGAATTGAATATATATACACAAACATACACACATACACACACACACACACGTATTATACAAACCTGTGCAACTTAGTATCCTTATGCAATATTAGAGTGCCTCTGATTTTGTTTAATTTACGTTAATATGTTTTATTTTGTATTTGATTTGTTTTTGATAACAAAAGTGAAATGATAAGAAAGGAAACATCTATGTAACTTTAAGATGTGATAAACTGAGTACTCAAATTTAGGCAATTTTTTCAAGGTACATTTGTAAATGCTTTTTAATTTGTTTTATACATACATATATACATGTATGCATATGAAATTTGTGTTAATATTTTGTCAGTATACAATTATTACATTATGACATACGAGTATAATATATTATTATGTAACTTCATTGCGAAATGTTCATTAAAGCAATTCCATATACATAAACCTATTCGCAAACCGTATTTCGCTTGGCATCAATGGTGTCCTGTTTCCAGATCCGGAAGTTGAACACATTCGTGTCCAATGTGGAGTAGATGAATATGGGCATTGAGTTGGTCATGACCCACATGGTGCCATCCTCATCGATCTGCACGAATTTTAATCATAATTAGTAATGGAAAATGTATACTAAACTCATATTCTCATACCGTTAAGTCGCTGGGATAGATCATGGTTTCCGCATTGGCTGCCACAGTGTCATGGGTGGCTGCCGAGAATGGATTCCGCGAGTTCCAGCAGCCCACACCATTGGTTTGTATCTCGGCGTAGAAGACGACACCGGTGCGCGGATCGTACTGATGCATTGTACTCTGCTTATTTTGACCCCGGCTGCCCAGCACACGGAAGTCGTTGCCATGGTCGGAGCGTGCTGCATTTGACTCCAACTGGAGCACGCGGTTCGAGACGACAAACTCATTGTTGCTGGCCATGGCATGGAAGTAGACATCGCGACTGCCGTCCGGCTGCTGGCGACCCAGTGTGACGGAGAAGATGCCGTCATCCCAGCGGAAGGTCTGCCCACCAATATGCAGATCCCCGGCCACAGGGTCAAAGTTAAAGTAATTGTGCTCAAAGCTCCACATGCGATCCGTTGCCAGGCTGTATACATATAGCCGTCTGTAGACCAGATCCGGTATATAGGCATATGCCTGATCGCACTGATTAGGCGAGGGCACATCAATGGTGAGGCTGGCCAGTCCGCGACCCGTCTCCACGATCTCTTCGGGTATGTCGAAGCGCATCAGCTGACGATCTGTTTTCAGGTCCACTATCCAAATACTAGGCCGTCTTATTTGTTGGCGATTATCTGTTGTAAATAGGGGATTATTAGAAATAGTTTGATGTGTACCTAAGCCATTGTGTTTGCTGACTCACTTGGATACTCCAGCATGCCGGTGTCAATAAACCACAATCTTTGACACGCATCCACAGTGGTGCGATAAACGGAAACTAGATTGAGTTCACTGCTATTGAACTGGTTCATCTCGAAGCTGGGATAGGCGTGCAGCTTGGGGCTGCTCTGCGCGCTGTCACGTCGCATGTCTATGTAATTTAGGGTCGAGGGTATTCCCACACGTCGCCTGGGCATGGTCACAAAGAGTCGCCCACGAAAATGTGTTACGCCCATCGGTACATTGTTGTAGGGTATGTATGGCCGAGAGTCGTCATCATCAATACCACTGCGCGTCTCCACGCCGTCGAGTATATCCCGTGAGGTAATCACTTTGCGCTTTATTCTCCTCCGCTCATATTTACCTGGAAAAACCACGGGCGCTGTGTTGGGCAAAACACATGAAATTGAATTAAATGTTGTACAGAGAGTGAGATAGTATATGGAGTGAAATTTTCCAATAAATGGAGTTAATTAAAGTGAGTCGGTTGTCGAGCTATAAATATGTTTTAATTCTGATCGAAATAATAAGGCAATTTAATGGTTTTCTCTTCAACTTTCTACTGCTCTTATAATGATTTATATATTTATTAATATGTACATATTTAAGTATTAAATTTCAATTAAAGCTTTGCCTTACATGTTCATTAAATTTTATGAATATTATATTATATAAATTATTTATAAAGCTAAATAATCATCTTGTAAGAAAGCAACATTTTTTCAACTCTAAATGTTGAACTTGAACTTGTGCACTTTCTGATAACGAATAACATGCACATGTATGCGTAATATATAGCTTTACCTGAGGGATTTGGTTGTCGAACTGCTCGAACATCGCCTCGGTTGTAAAAATCCATTTGTTTCCATTTAAACACTTCTATCAAGCCATCTCCACAAACACAACTAAGTGCAATCAAGAATACTACACAACACATGAACACAGTTCTTGACATCATTATTTTTATTCAAATTATTCGTTTTGTTTTTATTTTTTTTCTTTTTTTTTTTTTTTTTTTTTTTTTTTGATGTTACTTATATACGCGCTAAGTACTTATAATCTGAGAGCAAGAAGTCAAACTTTCCTTGTCAAGATCTCAACAGCAACTGAACGTTTTTTTGTTTTAAAATCAAGCTTGGCAATTTCAATTGTCAATTGATAAGAAATCTTTGCGTGAGAGTCGTGCAAACAAACCGGAAACCGGTTCTATATATACATATATGTATATATATATGATAATATATATATATTCAAAGTTCACTAATCCGTTCTTATGTATAGTCATAGAAATCATTAAATATAATCAATTTCATTCTTGGTTATAAAAATAATTTTCTAAAATAAAATTACCAGTTGAAGTTGTACTATAATAGTAGGATTTAATATATTTATATATGTAATGCTTAAAGATCGGTAAAACTGACACAAATATATCTAACGATGCGAAGGGAAATTTTGTTGTTCATTTCAGGCAATTCAAAGTTTTCTTGCATATTCTTAGGTGTTAGGTGCATTGAGAGCCAAATGATGTGTTCCATATAAGTACTAAATATATTAAGATCTTTTATACCTACTTCAATTCAATGTTTGTTTTAATAGCATCATGTTGAAAATATAGGATATTTAATCATTTTGATATTGTACATTTCACATTGGCTTAGCGGCACCTGCTTGTGCGCAATACTGGTCTATCGATAATGCACACATATTACTGTGTATGTATATCGCCGATACACCATTATTCCGTTTGATCGAAAGCAGTGCAACGCTGAGCCAATACAAACACGCTCACGTACATGCACACACACGCTCACACACTTTCAAGGCAGAAAATTGCAATTGCACCGAACGGACGACCAGCGAAACAAAACGAAAAAACCCAAACATTTCACTTGTTAAATAAATCTATATACATAACTGCACAGCAGTCCAATTAGGCTAAAAGCGTATCAAGGTAATCGAATCAAATTGTCAAACGCCAAGAAACGCGCACAGCTCGTTGACGGCGCGCGCGTTTTGGGAAAAAACGCGTTGCGTTCTTTTCATTTTGCTGTATGTGAGAGACTTCTTCGACACAACACACAAACATACACATACACACACATACAAGCAATCGACAGCAACAGCAACGAAAACGACGGTCGGTCCGAGACGAGGCGAGTGAAAGTGTCTCCACCACGGAAGTGCATCTGTGATTTGTATAATAATGCGTCGCGCATACTCAAATTTTTGTTACGCGAAAGCCCTGGCTGCGTTTTAGCCCGATTGTCGTAGTGGCTTAATGTTGCAAAGAGTGTGTAACAAAAGAAACAAAAATAAAAACATAAATAGAAAAGAATACGATATATAAAAAGATATCGAAAAATTTCATTTAATCAAATAAATAAAGATGGCTGAACAAGTGGAGAAGGCATTGACGTACAGGAAGTCAGTTCCCGCTACCGCATTGTTACAGGTGCCAGACTCCGAAAGAGCAGTAGCAGCCGCAACAACAACAAAAACCTGCATGAACTGTTGCAGCACCGAGGACGATGCCCGTCCCAGTTGCAGCGGGAGCAGCGGCAGTAACAAATCCAAGGGAGCCAAAGCCAAAACCCGTGCCAGCAACATCGATGCGAGTGTTGTGGCTGCAGCCGAGGCCGTTGTCAATGGTGAACTGGATGCCGCCTCTTGCTATCATGTGAGCATGAAAATGTCCATTGACGCGGCCACGCCGCGCATCTGTGGCGACTCAATAGCAATGAAATGTGATGCATTGGTCGCAATGCGAGAGGCGCTCAACGCCAACAAGCCATTGCCCCTCCAATCCAAACATCATGCGGGCAAAAGCAATGGCAGCAGCAAACCCAATCCACCACCGCCCTGTCAGCTGTTGGAGCGGCTTAATTTTCCCGAAGGCAACATCATAAATACGCTGCACACGATATTGGCGCTGCCGCCGTTTGATCCCTACGCGCCAGCGCCAAAATCGGATGTGGTCTACAAGGAGGTGGTTTCACTCATGCAATGGAGCCTGCGCGAAGACAATGTCATCGAAATGGAGCTAAGCGATAAGCTGCTACACGAGTGTAAGTCGAAAAGCCAGGATCCAAACGATGAGACGCGCTCTTATTTGGTAAGTAGATAAAGCTAATGTGAAATGCACCATCATAAATAAATGTGTTCCATTTCACAGATGGCCATTGAGAATATGCGTTTATTCTCGGAGGATCCAAAGAATCCATTGAGGGATGCCGACGGACAGCTGCGTGCAATTACGGTGTGCTACTATTGTCATGAATCTGTCATGCTGAAACCTAATCCATTGCAGCTTTATTTTCAGAA